CAAGGCTTTGTCTATATAAGACTCAAACTCACTGCGGATCCAGACATTTGAATTCAGAAAGCTTCCTGGAGAGGTGGCGAAACGTCTTCAAATCTTGGAAACCAAGTCCAGTGGATATTTTTTGAATTTTTACGGAATGACTATGACCTGGAAGACTGAGAACCTTCATCAGCACATTGAACTGTTTACCTTTTTTTGTTTCATTCCTTAGTTCTGTGGGAACACATAACTAAGAAATGAGTATTTATTTTTATAAAATATTTGCTCTAAAATATTTATTATGAAACATATTTAATAATCAAATTGTTTTTATTAGTTTTTCATATTAAACCAACAAACACCCCGTCCAGGGCATACAAAACAAAACAAAACAAAAAGACTCCATAATTACATCACAACGACATCACAAAAAAAAAAACTATCAACAAGACAATTACTACACCTGCACATACAACCCATGTTCCAGATGTCCATGGATTGAAAACCAAAAACATAAGTATGAATAACAATCATAATGATAATAATTCCGCCAAAAAAACAAAACAAAAAAAAAAAACTGCTGATTATGCTGAAGCAGATTGAACCTCGGATTCAAAATAGGAAATCAATGGTTGCCAAATCTTGAAATATCTCTTAATGGTACCCTGTGACGTAAATGGAAGATGTTCTAGCTTTAGGTGTGCCATTACCTCCTCTATCCATCATTTATGAGTTGGTGGAACTGCCTTTACCTAATTAAATAAAATCAATCTCCTGGCCAACAGTGAAGAAAATGCTATTGCCTTCCTTTGAGCTGTCGTTCATTCTATCCCCCCCGGTGCCACACCAAAAATGGCTTCCTGAGGGGCCGGTTCAATATCTTTCCTGTAGACAGATGAGAAAGTTTTAAAGATTTCAATCCAGAATTCTTTGAGTTTGGGGCAGGACCAAAGCATATGGTATGTGTTGGCAAGTCAGGGCAAGTCAGTTCGGTTCCCTGAAACATTCTCGCCAGTTTGTCTCTGATGAAATTAAGTCTATGTAGCACTTTAAATTGTGTTAATCCATGTCTAACACACACTGATGAAGAATGTATGTATTCTACAGCCCACCTCTATTCGTTATTTGAAATGTTTAGCTCTAGTTCTTCTTCCCATTTTCTTTTTATATAGTCAAGGGATGGGGAAGTCATCCTTTGAATATTAATGTAGAGCATAGAAATTGTCCCCTTAATAGTCGGATTCATATCTAATAGTTCATCTATCCACTCACTCTGCAATGATTCCAAAGATGAGGAGAATGTCTTTTTCACAAAGTCTCGAATCTGAAAGTATCTGAAATAGTTGGTTTTTAAGGGGATTCCATATTCTTTTTCCAACTGAGCCGCAGACATAAGTACTCCATCCTTAAACAGATTTTTGACAGATTTCACCCCAGCTCTATGCCATTCTTTAAATGCTGTTCCCCCTAAAGCTGGAGAGAATAGGTGATTACTATAAACAGGAGCAGACAGGAGGGCATTTCTGTTTCTAAAATGGGGTCTGAATTGGACCCAGATTTTAATAGAATTTCTTACCACAGGGTTATTTATATAAAAGTGCTTACTTAAGGGCAGAGGTGCACACATCAGGGAATGCAGAGATATTGGGCTAGATGCATACCTTTCCATATGCACCCATATTGGAGTTTCCTCTTCATCTAACTGTGAGACCCAAAACAACAATTTATGTAAATTAGCTGCCCAGTAGTAATGCATATAATTTGGTAGAGCTAGGCCCCCCTCCTCTCTCTGTCTCTCCAAAAACTGTCTTCTAATCCGGGGGACTGTTTTTTTTCATATAAAGCTGGATGTACATTTATTTAATTCTTTAAAAAAAGATTTTGGAATAAAAATTGGTATTGTCTGAAATAAAAACAGGAACCTTGGCATTATGATCATCTTTACAGAATTTATCTTACCTGCTAATGAAATTGGGAGGGTGGACCATCTTTCCATATCTGATTTAGCCTTATCTGCTGTTACTATAAAATTTTGCTTAAATAGATCTTTATATTTGCTTGTTACCGTAACACCTAGATATTGGAATTTGTCTTTCTTTGTTGTAAAAGGATAGGCCTGGAATGATAATTTCCTCGCCTGTTCATTAATTGGAAACAAAATGCTTTTGTCTAGATTAATTTTATAACCCGAAGCCCCCCCAAAGTCTTCAACAATACCGAGAGCCACCGGAATGCTTGTGGCAGGATTTGACAGAAAAAGAAGCAGATCGTCAGCGTACAGCCAGAGTTTATGTTTTTTTTTTATCCCTCTGTGTATTCCGCCGAGCTCAGCAGCATTTCTCAGCTTTATTGCCAGGGGCTCGATTGCCAGATCAAAGAGCAGGGGCGACAAAGGACACCCTTGTCTTGTTCCGCGAAACAGAGGGAATGGGTCAGAAATTATATTATTCGTACTTACCATAGCTTGAGGATTTGCGTATAGTAATTTAATCCATGCGCAAAATTTTGGACTGAATCCAAATCTCTCCAGGATCGTAAATAAATAAGCATACTCTATTCTGTCAAAAGCTTTATGGGCATCCAAGGATATTACAATTTCGGGATCGATGTTACCTTCCCCAGTGTATATCACATTGAGAGTCGACGGATATTACTAGAAAGTTGTCTACAAGCAACAAATCCTGTCTGGTCAGGATGTATTATCTTACCTATAACAGGCTCAATCCTCGCTGCTAGTACTTTAGTCAATATCTTATAATCACATCCTAGTAGACTCACTGGGCAATATGATTCACATTTAAGTGGATCTTTATTTTTCTTAAGAATGACTGAGATCATAGCCTGTGACATTGTTTGGGGTAAGGTTTTTTTTTCAAGGACTTCCTGATATACTCGTACGAGCAGGGGTATCAATTTACAGGCAAATGTTTTATAAAATTCACTAGGGAACCCATCCGGGCCAGGTGCCTTGCCTGTCTTCATGTTATTAATCACTTTCTCTATCTCTATTGCAGTCAGGGTCCCTCTAATCTCTCTTTCGTTTCTAGGGTTGGCATTTCCATATTTTTTTAAAATCTTTTTTATTTTCTCCTTATCATTTATTTCAGAGGTATAGAGATCCTTATAAAAAGACTTAAATTGGTTGTTGATACCTTTCTGATCTATAATCTTATTCCCCAGGTTTGTTGGGATCTGGAGGTCTGTCCACCTTTCTCCAGCAGAGGGCGCCCTAGGTCTCCTGGAGCTGAAGCTGACTACCACACCTGCGGCTCGTTTGCTCATCAGGAGACCAGCATTTAAGCAGTGGGAGAGCTACACTCCAGTGCCAGAGTGTTAAGCCAGTTACGGAAGAACCTGACTGAACCCTGGAACTCTGGAAGAGTTTCTCAGCTGAGACCAGCTGTCTGATCTCAGAAGAACCTTGGAAAGTCAAACTGTCTAAACCTGCCTGCCCGCTCTCAAGAAGAGAACTGGAAAGTAACTCTGATCTGAACACTGCAAAGTCTGAAGTCAAGCCCTGCCTCTGCCTAGCCCTCTGCCTACCTTCTGCCTCTGGACCCTCCTGGTTCCCTCCCTCTGCCGCTCAGCCTAAATCACTGAACAGGTACAGACCTGCATTACTCAACAAGCAACAGTATTTGGATCTCAGCTAACCGAACTGTCCCTCTCTGCAGAGAACCCAGTTGTGACCAGTCCTGGATCTGTTTCCCAAGAATCAGTTCTTTACTATCATTGTGTTTCAATAAACTGTTGAACTTTTCCCTCTGAGTCCGTGTGTTCTGCATGTGGGTTAGAAACCTTGGTCCCAACATGACAAGGTTATCCTCTATCTCCACTATCATACCAGCAGCTGCTGACTGTTTTAGCTAGTGGCTGAGGACATATTTAATATGTTTAACATATTAAATATAGATCTCCAAAAAATATATTTTAACACATTTCCCCAAGTTACAGTTGTGGTATGATCAAAAGAAGATTGTTTATTTGTACTGTGAGTTTGGTTGCACTGCAATGTGTAATAAAGTAGTTATTGGTTACTTCATTAGTTATTTATTGATTAAAATTTCACCAAAAATAGACTTTTCTCCAAAAACACATAATTTTAGTATCACCAAGAGGAAGTGATTTGTTTGTACTGTGAGTCTGTTACCCTGGACAGGTCTCCAGTCCATCACAGGCAACACAGAGACAAACAGGACAAACAATCATTCACTCACACCTAAGGAGAATTTAGAGAAGCCAATAAACATGTTTTTTGGACTGGGAAGCCGGAGAGTACCCGGAGAGAACCATTGCATGCTCAGGGAGAACCTGCAAACTCTATGCAGAAAGATCCCAGACCAGGATTCGAACCCGGAACCTTCTTGCTGTAAGGCAGGAGTGCTAGTCTTTATTGATTTGCTCAATATTTATATTTATTGAAACATTAGTAAATTGCTATCATTTATTTCTGTAACTAGTTTTTTTTTTTTTTTATAATTCCTTTTATGATTGCCAGTCTAAAGAGGGAGAAGGGAGAACAGAGCAAGGTGTGTGAAAAGTGAAAGGTCAGAAAAAAACACGTAACAAAACAAACAGAATAGCGAAAGTTAAACTGGCAAATAAAAACATTTCATTAACTTGACTATTTTTCATATATCAGGGACGTAATTTTTGGCACACAAAAGAGAAAACTCATTTCATGAAAACTGATTCAAAGATTTTCATGAAATTAGTTGTTTTAAAAGCTTTAATTTGTTAGAATATTGTTCTGCTGCTTTTTGCTTTGCTTGTCAGGGTTTTGGCTCACGTCTCAGATACCATGAATTAGTGAATGATGGAGTCAGTCTTTAGCAAAACGCACTGAACAAGTTTTTAAAATATGTGTAGAAAACAGTGAAATCTTCTCTGGCCAGATGTGCTCAGCACCCCGAAACATCTGGTCCTTGAATCGCCCCTGCCTGCAGCTCTGTGATGAAAGTAGGAGGGAACTGAGACATGAAACCGGCAAACCAACTGGCGGAGGGGCTGACCTGGAACCGCATCAATAACTATCCCACCCCCACATAAACAGCTGCTGTCGCCTCCCAGCGCACGGCTGCAGTCAAACTTCAGGTGAGGAAAAAATCAGAGCAGAAGTCATCAGGACAGCAGGATGGCCACCGAGCGCAGCGGGACGCCGCTAGAAGACAGCGATCAGCTGCTCCCATCAGACCCGGAGCTGGGAGGTCACATCCCGAAGAGGCATGCCCGGGTCACCGTGAAGTACAACAGGAAGGAGCTGCAGCGGCGGCTGGACGTGGAGAAGTGGATCGATGAGAGTCTGGACCGGCTGTACCGGGGTCAGGTGGGTCCACAGCTGCTCCTCCTCAGCAGTTATTGGAGAGAGCTGTCATTAAAAGGGTCCCAGTGATCTTTGGGGTGTTGAGGTGGGGGGTCATCTCCTTACAAGGCATTCTTTCCACAATAAGCCGGGTTCCTCTCATAGATCGGATCTTCCTGTCCTTAAATGGACATGATGGGACATAAAGGCTGACGGGGAGTAAGCATCAGGGAAAATGTGTTTTTGAATCCATCTTACCAGTTTGCTTTGTGAAATCAGACTGGATGGTTTTCAGAAGTCGGATTCCAGTGATAAGAACAAACAGGACACACTGGAGTCCTTATCATCACAGCTGAAACATTTCCTGCCAGCAAGCAGTGCCTCAGATAAAACCAAGACTTAAAGGAAAAGTCATATTCAGAAAATAGAAATGAAAAGGAAATTATAACATCCTGTTCAATAAATGATCAATGTTTTTAATTAAGAGTAATTATAATTTGAATGTGCTTTACTGGAGGGATCCATGTTTGTGAAGAACACTACTGCCACCTACTGGTTTGTGACGTCACGGTGCGGTATTAGCTGTTGATCAAGTCCCAGTGCTGTATCTGGTGTTTGTCACAACGCCCTATTATCCAAGTCATCTTGAAAACATTCTTTTTCCAAATGTTGGCTACATATTACGTGATTTTTCTCTGGCCAGAAGTTCGGTGGCAAATCCTCCCTCTTCAAGTTGGCGATCCAACGACCAACCTGTCAATGGAGGATCAGGAATAGTAAAGGTGGAATAACTCTTTTTTTTTTCACTTTTACCGGATGTATTCCAGCATCCAACTGCCATGCACATGGGCATTGTCAGTTTCACTATAGCTCTGGTGAATTTCAATGGTGAAGTCCTCTGGAAATCTTCAATAATTGTTGTTGATTGCAGAAGTGTCTAGTAGTTCCCATTAATTTAGCTTGGAAAGCGAGGAGAATGGCGCTAGGCTTACCGCACCGTGACGTCACTGCTGGAAGATGACAGGAGGGAGGCGTTACTATATTTGGGCAAAAATGGCCGCTCCCAGCCTCAGTGATCGCAACGAAAAATATTGTTTTTATTTATTTACTGATTAATGCTAAATTAATTAAATAACAGTGAACGTGTTAGTTTTAGGTATAAATGATTATCCATTCATTATTCTTTGCTGACTGGACTTTTCCTTTAAGAATATGTCCCCACAGAGGACAGAACTAGAAGAGACATGGCGTCCTCCAGGACTCCAGTCCTGTTTGTGCCTAGATCCAGTCACACAAACTAGAAGCTCAGACGACTGGTGTGGATGGCTGGTTTCTCCACACAAACAGTACAATGGCTGATTGTTTAAAGATAAGCAGGCTGTGTTACAGTGTGAAACACCCTCCAGATGTCTGCAGTTTGTGACTTTTCTCAGTGGGGTGAGGAAAGGTCAAAGTTTCTGTTACTCTGCAGGAAGACATCTTATTTCATCAGCCAAAATATTCTGACCTCTTTTCTTTCATAAAAGATCCAGAAACTGGTCAAGAGCACAAAAAAAAAAAAAAAATGCACAACACTTGAACACTACCAGTCCTCCCAGGGACTGATCTTTTATTTGAATGTTTCCAATTGGTTGCAGAGCTTCTGGTGCTGAATGAATGTTTATTATGACCCACAGAAATCAGAAGGTCATGGTATTTTTTTGTATCTCATTTCTACATTTAGTTATTTTTTACAGTGACTGACATTTTTCTTCTCCTGTTTATTTTGCTTTGTTGACTTAAGGAGAGCGACATGCCAGAGGAGGTGAACATTGACGACCTGATCGACCTGCAGACTGATGACGAGCGAGTCCACAAGCTGAAGGTAACTTGTCCCCTGGTCTGTGTTTGTATGTATGTTTCATGCTGAACCAGTGGCATCAGTAGATCCAAGAAGGTGTTACTCTATTAGCATCATAGGTGTGTAAATCTGTCTGAGTCTATAATGTGTTTTTTCTGTTTTAACAGGAACTTCTCCATAACTGCAGTAACAACACACAGGTAGGATTAGAAATTTTTTTGGTTCTGATCATTCTCTCCCAGCCCAACGTTTCTCATCCTGCTGCTTCCTAAACAGTGGCTTGCTGTTCTCCCTTCCCTCAGTTTGAACACAGAAACAACAATTCTTTCTGGAGTCAAACATTGTTCTTTCACTGGTCCAGTTGTAGGCCCAGTTCCTGGATAGTGTCCAGAGAAAAGCTGCAGCTTCAACTGAGAGCAGCTTTATTTTATCATGTCTATAAACAAACCAAAGGGCTATAATTCCTTCCGTCGCTTCTGTTGATAAAAATAGTTTCATGTCCTGAGAAAGATGGACAAAAGGTGACTTCTCTCCAGAAAGAAATCCTGTTTGGTCCAAAAATCAGTTTTCAAAGCTACAGTTTAATGATCCGATTCTGCTGAAAGTGCGAACTCTGGATAGAGCAAACAGAATAACTGACTAATGACAAAGGTGTCAAGTAACAAAGTACAAATACTTTGTTACTTTACTTAAGTAGACACTTTGGCTATCTATACTTTACTAGAGTAATTATCTATTAGACAACTATTTACTTTCATTCCTGACATTTTTTGTTATTATCTCTACCTTCTACTCCTTACGTTTTAAAAATAGATATGCTCCTTTTGTTTCATTTAAGTTCATTTTTGTTATGGCTTGTTGCTATTAAAAAAATTAGAACCATCACAATAATTTGTTCCATCCAGACAATTAATTTCTTTTTGCTGCTCCAACTTTTCTTTCACCACAGACTAAAATAAATGTTTTTTCAAGATGATGCAAATTTAAATTTGGCACTGCAATTAGGTTTAAAACTAAGAAAATTAAATATAAGGAAGTTATCATCCAGAATTGTAGAAAATTTTTCCTTAAATAAAGCTTTTGTCCTTAACATGCATTATTTTTTCTTTTAAACTTTAAGTAGTTTTAAAAATGTTACCTGTAGACTTTTACTTGAGTAAAGAGCTTAAGTTGATACGCTCACTTCTACAAAAGTTTTCTTAAGTGGGATTTATACTTCTACTTGAGTAATAAACATGACACCTCTGTCCTGTTTGTTCTCTACATCACCTTTTGACACCTCTGAGTAATGATTCTAATTCTGGATTGATGTTAAACGGTCGGTGCGTTTTGTATTCTGCTTCTTACAGGCTAAGTAAACCAGTAAATGTGCTTGTTGGGACAGCGTAATGTGGGCTGTCCATTGTTTATAATGACTGGGCTGCTTTTTTCCTGCTCCGTTTTGATTGTTGCTACAACAGAACACATGTGGGTCATTTATTTCTCTGAAGGTGGTTATACATCCTATCTGTTGCCCTGACATACTACAGTACCAGAAAACAATTCAATTCAGTTTATTTATATAGCACCAATTCACAACACATGTCATCTGAAGGCACATTACAGTTCACAGATCATACAGTCAAACTGATTAAAAGTTTTTTCTCTAAGGAAAACGAGTTGATTGCATCGACTCATTGACTCGAAGACAATCCCTCACACTAAGCACGCTTGTAGCGACAGTGGAGAGGAAAAACTCCCTTTTAACAGGAACAAAACCTCCAGCAGAACCAGGCTCAGTGTGAGCGGCCATCTGCTAAAGTCGACCAGGGTTCAAGGAGACAGTTGAACTAACGGTCCTGTTTTAGTCTTGCTCTGTGAGTCTTTTGATGCTAAGAGACAAACTGTCAGCTCATTCACTGCTTTCAACTCTCGTATAGGCACAGCATTGAGTGTGGAACTTGTGTACGTCGACTTTCATTAATACTTTTTCTTACTGTGGCTACCTAACAAGTTTATCTTTCCAACTTACTCACCAACATTTAAATACACACTCATTCAAATACACAATTGCAGGAATTTGGTTAAATGTGGGTGGAGCTTCAGAAGAGCTGTTTTGTTTGTCACCATGGTTTTATAATGGTGTGTTTCAGGTGTTTGTTAGCTGTGCCCTTTTATTGTGGATTCTATGTTTTATAAATGAGAGCCCAGACCTGTACTTCTGTCATGTTCTTCAGTGCACTTCTGTAGCTCCTCCAGAGTGACCATGGGCCTCCCACTTATATGTTCAATTCAAGCTACATGCCATTGGTCATTCACATATAACACATTGAAATTCTATAAATAAATTAAAAACAGATGCAATAAAATATTAAATATGTTTTATTTCTGTGACACCTGCTCTGGTTCCTGTTTCTTTCTCAGACCTTCATCAAGGAACTGGTGGAAAAACTCGTGGGAGTTCATAAGCAGAATGAGCTGCAGAGCGAAGGCATTGAACATCCAATCATCTGCCACAGTGTCCACCGCCATGAGCCCTACCACTTCCACCACGCACAGCCCCACATCCACCACACGCAACGCCACAACCAGAGTCTCTGATGAGCCCATCCAGGTTCAGCTCGCAGACAAACAGACGTTGGACCAGGCGGTTCTGGGATTAATATTGATTCAAATATACTGACCCAGTTCCAATGTATGACTCTGCTGCTGAGTCAGGCTTACTGAGTAGAAAGGCATTAAAACAGAACCACCCAGCCTAAGATAGAAGGGAAACAGAACCAAACTAAGCTAAGTAATCCAACTAAGCAGTAACCCAATATCTTTAATGATTAAAAAGTAAGACTAATTCATTTAGCAATTATGACTTATGTGTTATCTTTTGTATTAATGTTCATTCTGTCTCTAACACTAATGGACTCATATATTCCCCATTGAATGCCCTAAAAAATAGCAGAATCTGTACTTCTTAAAGGAACTAAGTGGTTACCTGAGGAAACTCACCCTTTGATCTTTAAGCCCCATTTACACTACCCTTTTAAAACTGTGCCGAGATCGGTCCAAGCACAGTAACCAAGATACCTGTTGAGTGTAAATGGCAATGGCAATGTAAAAAAAAAACTGAACCAGACTGTGCCAGATACAACTGAACCTCACTACACTAGTTCTAGTTCAACAGTCAGGCTTGGCGCGGCTCAGTTCTGGCTCAGTTCTCTGATAACAAAAAGCGTATGAGCAGAATGCGTCATCTCCTATTTACAATCAGCTTACAGTAGTTGGTGGTAACGCACATTGGTAAGTTGCTTGCCACCTGCCGCAAAACAGAACTGTAAACAACAATCGAAATCTTCTCAACACTACATTTTGTAAAATAGCTTCAAAAGAGTGTGGTGCAACTTGGGATTACAACAAGACTGAAGCTATTATTTTGATTTGGGCAAACAGCGCTATACAGGGAATGTTGGACAGAGCAAAAGTCACAAAGCTTTCCTACTAGAGAGCAGTAGTACTGTAGATTGACACTAGGAGGCGAGGAACCGTGCTAGCTTGATGTGTAAACATTCGTAAGGAACCAAGCTCAGCATACTTAACTGTTCAGAGCTCGGTCCGTACTCAGCACAGCTCAGTTTTCAGATGGTAGTGTAAATAGGGCTATTGACTTCCTATATTAGATCTAAAAGCTCCCATTATTTTCCAACCTCATGGACCAATTGTTCTTGTTGCTGCTTGTCACCAAGTGATAACTTTAATCAGTAAATTAGAAGGGAAAGTATTTGCAGGTGGAAGAGCAGAGAGTCTGGATTCCTGTTGGATGGTCTGACTGCTTGCTGCTGTTTAGACCACAGACTTAGTCTACCATAACGTTTCTGATGGACTAGACTGAATGTCTCAGCCCACTGCTTCTCAGCCACCCATGACCCAACAACTTGTTCTCCACTGTTCCTTCATCGGACCTTGTAGACACATGGTCCACTGGAGACCAGAAGAACCCCACCTGAACTGCTGCTTTGGAGGCTTGCTGAAAAAATGGCTACTTCCGGCCCATCAACAGATATCCTTAGATTTAAACAACTTCTATTGTCATTTTATATACAGAGTATATAGAGTGTCTACAAAACAAAATTTCGTACAGATTTCCAGACAGTAAATGAACATTCCTACTCCTAACATCATCGTGTTGCTGATGTTATGTCTGTTGGGTGTTTAACATTAGATGAAATTTGTTCAGGATGGCTGATTGATGATGAGCTGTGGTCAAAAACATCTAATTAGATCAATCCATGGATATGGATAGGACATTTTTCAAATTGTTACAAATATTTTTAACTGCTCCTGAACTCTAGCCTTTAATAAATATATTATATAACTTTTTCACTTTTGTTTGAGTTTTTAGTTTTAATCTCCTTAATAGCTGTAGGAAAAATATCCTCTGTTTCCAGGTAAATGATCAGAAATGTATTTAGAGTAGAGGCTGTGCACACTCTGATATATCTGTCTCTTCACATGTTTTTATTTGTTTTGATGTGAGGAGAGGTTCTGCTATCAGCAGCATTAATATGTCCTTGATCAGATTACACTGGAAAAAAAGGGTTTAAAAAAAGTTAAATTTTTTTTAGATAAGTGTTTTTGCACCTATTGATCCCCCCCCCCCTCCCTTTTAAAACATAGATTATCTTCTTTAGTTGGCAAATAGTCTGAATTGTCTGCTCATGTAAAAAGCATAATTCCTTTCAAGAAGAATCCACTTATTTATATTTCAGTTTTTGTAGTGTGGGTATCCAGCTCATGTTTCCCTGGAGAAAAACTGACATAAACCAGATCTCCTTTTGGGCATGATGTTTTCTCCCTGCTTTGTGGTAAAACAAACAAGCAGAAGCTTGTCTGATTAGAAGTCATCTTCCAGCTGCCCAACGATGCCCGGACAGGCAGAGGAGGCTTTCCTGTAGTAATCTCAGAAAGACAAACATCCTAAAAACTTCTCACATTTGCTGCTTTACAGTTTATACTCCCTTACAGATTTTTTCCCTCTCTGCTTTTTTTTTCTTCCTGAAAATCAAGAAGAGTTTAATATCAGAATAAGATAACCTAAATAAATCCAAAATTTTTTTTTATTTACACTGCAAAAATTTAAATGCCGTAATTAAGTTTTTCTTACAGTTATTTCATATATTGGAATTGAGGTAAGTACGGCACTGGAACAAGACCGTTTTATAATTAAAATAAGAAAAAAACAATTGCATTGTATTTTTTTAAGTGTATATTTATAGTGTATAAATAGTGTATAATTATAAGAGTGATAATACTCATACCATTGGCAAATCATCTTATTTACCTTTTCAAATTAAGGCTAAATACGCTTAATTTAAGAAATTTGCACTTATTTGTAGAGTGTTTTTGCAGTGTACTGAGAGAAAAACTATTTAATGCAACAAATTTTAGTTGGCCTTATTTTTCTTAACTGGAGTCCTGCTCCTGTATAATGTGGTTCTGGGTTCTTTTATGTTGTTTTGCCAACTTGTGAATACAGGTTTTCACTGTGGCTTACCAAACTTTTTAAAGCCCTAAATATGGCAGATTTTTTGCATGGAAAATTGGAACAGCTCTCTGCATTTATTACCATTGCTTGGTTTCATAACATTGTTACCTTGTGGATGATCAGAAACATTTAAGAACATTGCTGTTTATTAATCAATAACTGCAGAGAACTGCTAGAAACCATTAAAATAACTTTTTTCTTGTTGCAAGGCCTATGAGAAGCAGCTAAAGACTGAGACAAAACAGCTTAAATAATTCAGTTACATTTCCTTCAAAAAGCGTTATTTATTAGATTAGATTAGATTAAACTTCATTGTCATTACACATGTACAGTTATAAGGCAACGGAATGCGGTTTAGGTCTAACCAGAAGTACAATAGCAGCAAGTGCAGGATAAATAATGGTTCCATAAATACAGGACATGGGCTTCTACTGAATAAATATAGGGATGAATACTATTATAAACAGAATTTTACTAATATAATATAATATATAGATAACTAGTGTTATGAAAGAAATTTACAGCTGGATATGGACCGAATATAATATACAGGTGGATATTACTATAAAAAGGGTTTTTACAGTTATGTACAATAGCATAATATACTATTATGCTATTGTGTTATTGTGCATAAAAAATTAAAAAAAAACTAAGGATTACAACACACAATAACCAATTTTCATGCTATTATTTTTTTTCCCATTTTCCCCCTACATCATCTCTGCTTCTTGGAGAATTTCAAGAGTTGACAAATCCCACTTCCTGACATGAAATAAAAATGACTAAAGATCATAATCCCTCCAACTGTTACCCCAACCTAAGTTAATCTCTTGAATAAGATCAGATTTCTTTCTTTATGATCATTTTAATTATCCTCCACCTAATTTTAAGTAATTCTCACCGTTTTTGGATACCTAAATGGAAAAGGAAATAACTAAGGAACTGTACGGCCAAATTACAGGTGTAATACATAATTTTAAAGCTAACACCTTATAGTTTCTAAAAACATAAAGGAAAACTGTGAGTAAAACACAGCTTAAACTGCATCAGTTCAACAGTGACTCAATGTTTTTTTTCTTTCTTTATTGAAGAGCAGTAAAAATGCTTGAAAATAAGCCTTTGTCGTTTTATTATATTTATTCTTCATCATGTAAACCAGAACTGCACAGCATTTCAGCCATCTAGGTATAACACTTCCAGAGCTATGAAACTTTTAACTTCTGGTGTCACCAGCATCTCCAGACCTCTCCAAATGTGCCACATCATTCCAAATCTGCTTATTGCTTTTACACAGTAATTTTACCCCATTAATCTCACTGAAGCATTTTGATGGCCATAAATTTTTTTATGCATATATCTTTCTTCTTTTTTTCATTTTGATCTGATGATTGACTGGTGAGTATCTTTCATTGTTATGAAAGCTTATAATAGCTTAATAAAAAGCTTGTTGTAAACCTTATTTAATTGGCTACAAAGCCAAATGTGGCATGTGGTCTTAACCAGTATCAGCAGGACTCTATGAGGCATTATATCACACTGCTTGGTGTGTCTCCCTCCAGCCGTCTGAAAGGGGTTGAAGAAGCCTACGCACCAGAACCACCAGGTACCGGAACAGCTTCTTTCCCACAGCTTTCACACTCAGGAGCGCCTCCTGACACAATTATAAGGACTGTATCCCCCCCATACAATAATAACATATTGATTGTCCCAAGGGCATAGGTTTGATTTCAACTTTGGTAGGGACACTATTGGTCTGATGTCACTTGTCCTAGGCAAAAATATGCATGCTCCATTTGTTATGCTTGAAGTGAAAATCAGGGTATATTTCATTTAAAAAGAAAAGCAGTATTTCTTGTTACATTTATACACATTTTTTAAGCACACACACTAGATGCTGTTTGTCAATGTTTGAAGCATCACTGAATGAATGTGGAATTAGGACTATTTTCCGCTTTGAAAAGGTTTACATTTGAAATTACCAGCAACTAAAACAGTAGGTAAATCTGTGCGTCTTTAACCAAATATAGTGTAAATGTGTCTGTTATATGTGGATTTATCCTATTTTTCTTTTGAAGATATAGAATTCTGCAGAGGTAAACTTGTCTTATAAATGTTCTATTTGTATCATTAAAATACGCAAAATAATAGATTCAAAGGACGTCAAATTTATCTACATTCAATTCAGTTTATTTATATAGCGCCAATTCACAACACAAGTCATCTCAAGGCACTTTACAGTTCAACCAGATCATACAGTCAAATTGAGTCAAAGTTTTCTATCTAAGAAAACCAGTGGATTGCATTGACTCAAATACAAACCCTCACACTAAGCATACTTGTAGCGACAGAAGAGACGGAAAAGCTACCTTTTAACTAGGGGTGTAAATCACACCCATCATAGCAATTCGATTTAGTATCGATTTCCTGACCCAACGATTCGATTATTTTTGATACTCAAGAATACAGCGCGATATGATTCGATTAATTGGTTCTTTTTTTTTAACACCTTACAGGCTAGGCAATGTTTCAAATTTTAAATAAATCAATCAAAGCTGTAATATCATTATGCATTTTTTTGAGAAACAACAGCAAATAACAGAAGTAGAAAAGTTGCACTCCACCTATTCCTATTAAAACCTCATTGACTGAAAAATAATAATGCCCCTGCGTTATAGATTCTGAAAGGCCTTGCATTAGAAAATACTGCACAAAATCAGTGCAATGAGTGCAATTCAATACCTCGGCTCCAGACGTCCCCACCCCCTCCACAGACGCCCCAGCTGATCAGGGCTAAACCGACATTTAAAGAGGTCCGTGTGTGGTCTGAGGGTGCCATGGAGACTCTCCAAGACTGTTTTGAATGCTCTGACTGGAACATCTTCAAGGCTGCAGCAACATATGGCAACTTATTAAATATTGATGAGTATGCTATGACTGTGTCAGCCTACATCAACAAATACATAGAGGATGCCAGCATCAAAAAGAACATCACCACCCAGCCCAACCAACCCCTCTGGATAAATGGAGAGGTTCGAAAAATCGCTAAAAGCACAGGACTCAGCTTTCAAGTCTGGTGATAAAGAGGCACTGAGAACAGCGTGTGCCAACTTAAACTGTGCCATCAGATCAGCGAAGCAGAACCACAGCCAGAAAACCCAGGATCTTTTCCATGATGACAGCAACACCAGGAGCATGTAGAAAGGCATTCGGATGACCACGGACTACAACACCATCTCTGCTGCTCTCCACCTGAGCCTGGCACACCTGAAAGAGAAGAACACCCATGTGCGGATGCTGTTCCTGGACTTCAGTTCAGCTTTCAACACCATCATCTCACAGCATCTGATGGGCAAACTGGAACAGCTGGGCTTCAATACAACTCTTTGAAATTGGCTGCTAGACTTCCTCACCAACAGATCTCAGTCAGTCCGGGTCGGACAGAACACCTCTGATGTCATCAGTCTAAGCACAGGTTCCCCTCAGGGCTGCGTCCTGAGCCCCTTTGCGGTTCACCCTAATGACACATGACTGCGTCCCCAGGTTCACCACCAATCACATCGTGAATTTTGCAGATGACACCACGGTGGTGGGCCTCATCAGTGATGACAACGACCAGAACTACAGAGAGGAGGTGGAGCAGCTGGTGGATTGGTGCAGAGATAACCGTCTGATCCAGAACGTAGAGAAGACCAAGGAGATCATCTTGGACTTCAGGAAGAACTGGTCTAACCACGCTCCACTGGTCATCAACAGCTCAGCTGTAGAGGTGGTCAGCAGCACCAAATTCCTGGGGATGCACATCACAGACACCCTCACCTGGACTGTA